CCACTCCCTCCTCATCAGATGGCTGCCTGGCTTAGGATCACACCTCAGTAGGGGCCAGGTGCAGCAGTTCCAGTGTTGGAGCTGTCCCCCACTGCCCTGCCCCTCCTCAGGTCCCTTCACAGGGCCAGGCACACAGGAGGAACTTGATTTCCACGATCCCACAGGCACAGGAAGATGCTGAGTGTTGTAGTGGGGTCCAACCACCTCACTTCTCCAGCCATGCCACAGGGAAGCTTCAAGCTGAAGCCTTTATTTCAGGCAGAGCTCCAGAACAGCAGCAGCGTTGCTCTGTGACCCAAGCAGCAAAGTCTCCATGATTTGGCATGGCCAAGACCAGCAAACTCAAAGGATCTTTCACTCCACAACCTTCCACATTAGTTCCAGCAAGAGTCTTGAACTCCCACAGTGCCAGATCCTCAAGCAGAGCTATGAGGAAGGACAACAAAGCCTGAACTACTCTTAGCTACCTCCCAGAAATCTCAAAGGGCATCCTTGCTACTTTGGTGAAGGCAAAAGAGAGACCTAGAAAAGGAACCATGGAGTTTAGCCCTTCCTAACTTCCACAGGCATCATCAAAAATCATTAATTCTGAGGCTAAGGAGGGAAAGTCCTGTTCAGCAGCTCCTCAGAGTAGCCAAGGAGGAAGACTCATTTCCGAAGCTGGGTCTCATATAATAGCCCAGCTGGCAGGAGAAAGAAATTGCCCCATCACAGGGACTAGTTGAGTTGGGATGTCAACGCTCAAACTCATGTCTAAGAAATTCAGATTTGAAAGAGTGAGAAAGGAGAAGGAAGCTCCTTCAGAGGGTATTCACAGGACACAAGGAGATAATGGGGAGATTCCCACATCCCTCCTCCTGTCAGAGCAGCTCAGTGCTCAACTCAAGACCAAGAGGACGTCTGGGAACACATCAGTTCCCAGAACCCCTGTGTGCCTGGTGACTCCAGGGTGTCTGCTCAGCCAACAATCTGTCACTGACAGAAAGCTGCATCTAACACTTAGGGGACTTTTAGTGTGCATGAAAACAGCTCTGAGGCACCATCCTGCTTCAGCCAGGCCAAGTGCAAGAGGATTAGCAAGTGGTGACTGTAACTACTACAGCTTCATGTTCCTCAGAGTGAAGAGCAGCATCAGAGGAGACATTTGACTCCAGAACTCACACTAACCTTATTTGTTTGCAGCTGTAGAGCTGGAATCCACACATGCACGAGGTATCTAGGTCCACTCAAGCAGAGATTACAGAAGTCAAGAGATGCCTGGCACCAGTCCATGAAGTGCTACAGCACATAACACAGCCCACTCACCAGCAGCATTCCCAGGCAGTTCCGGCAGCCCTGGAGTGCAGCAGCTAAGGAAAAAGGGATGTAGGACTTGCTACTGAGGAGGTTGTCTGGAAGCCAAGAGTCTCCTGTCTCTCTAACACTGAGTTTTCTAACCCACAGCCTTCCATGGATCAACAGGGAAGATCACAGAATTACATAATGATTTGGTTTAAAAGGGACCTTAAAGACCACCCCATTCCATCCTTGCCATGGGCAGGGACACCTTCCACTAAACCAGGTTGCTGCAAGTCCCATCCACCTTGGCCTTGAGCACTTCCAGGGACGGGGCAGCCACAGCTTCCCTGGGCAGCCTGTGCCAGGGCTTCACCCTACCACATGGAAATATTTCTTCCTAAGATGACCCTCTCTGGCAGAGCTTAGCCAGGTCCTCACCTGGGTTCTCCCAGCACAACTTCACATTTCCCACCCTCAGCAGTCTGGGATCCCCAAGCTCTACCTCAAGAGCAGCAGGCACCAGCCATGGAGCTGCAAACAGGCCCTTCAGACCAGCCAGGAGGATGCACAGGACAACCACAACTTCAGCTGCCAGTTTGAGCATCTATGCAGCCAGCTCCAAATTTCTCACACTCATGGTAGACCTAGAACTTCCCAGTGACTTCCCAGGAGAGCAAGAATTAATTTCTAGAGTAGAACCCACATGTCTGCAACGGGCACTCCAGAGAGCAGGGTGAACACACAGGGTTTTATTGCTATGCAGCCATGGACACTACACCCAGTGTCCACGAGAGCTCCTGCAGCTGCTGGAAAAAGCTCTGCCTGCCACAGGGGTGGGAGTGCAGCACCTAGGCAGCTGCCTGTCCACACTACCCTTCGGGACTGCCGGGAGAGATGCAGCCACGCAGATTGGTGGCTGCCTGGAAAACTAAACAGAAGATAGCAGCAAGTGGGGAGGGATCGCGTTTGGGGAGGTGTCTGGTGAGGAACAGCAGGGACTGACATTAGGCCCTGTTTGTTTAACATTCCCGTTAACGACCTCGAGAGGAGCGAGAGGCATTCCTGTCCTCCGCATGTCACCAGCCAGGAAGCGGCTGCGAGATCCAGGGGCTCACAGATAAGATAAAGGGAAGGGCTGAATTTGGGAGCTTCGCCCCGCTGTATCTGGGGCACACGGCGCCCTTCTGCGAGCGCCTGGGAGGCAGCAAAGGAGGTGCATGGTGGGGGGAACAGCAGGGACTGACATTAGGCCCTGTTTGTTTAACATTCCCGTTAACGACCTCGAGAGGAGCGAGAGGCATTCCTGTCCTCCGCATGTCACCAGCCAGGAAGCGGCTGCGAGATCCAGGGGCTCACAGATAAGATAAAGGGAAGGGCTGAATTTGGGAGCTTCGCCCCGCTGTATCTGGGGCACACGGCGCCCTTCTGCGAGGCAGCAAAGGAGGTGCATGGTGGGAGGGAGTGGGGGATGGAGGAGTGTCCACAGCGCCAGGATCTGGCAGTGTTATCCATGCAGTGTGGGAAAATATTCCAGCACACCCTCCTGCATATGCTGGGACTGAAGGATTCCACTTTGCACCAAATGTATTTATCACTCTCTATCAAGGGGAGCTTCTGGGCAAGAATTTGGGCCCTCAGACCATGATGGGATCCTGAACACAAGGTCACGCCTCATGCCTCCACTAGCCTCTGCAGTGAGGAGCAGCTCCTGGTCAGCCAGGAGGTACTGGAAAAACAAGGATCCAGAGTAGGCTCAAGATAGGCACCATGGAGCCCAAACTGTGCTCACACCCACAGCATTATTCCTGTTGGATTCTTGTGGAGAAAGCACTTTCCAACAGCAATCCCACCAGGGACTGGAACGTTAGCCCCCCACCAGTCCCAGCCTAACGCAGGTGGAGGGTGTTTTGCTGCAGCCCTGGGTGCAGGGGGACAGACACACCCAGCGAGGCCATGGACCATCCAACAGGGCAGACAGACCGTGCCCCTCCCCGCACGCTCCCGGAGGCTGCACAGCAGAGAGCAGCAGCCCCTTCTGTCAACCCTGCACGCTCCCCAGGGATGCCATCTTTAACTACGTTTTCCAGCCATCAAGCTCCACTCCTGGGAGGACCAGCCTCTCCAGAGGGCGAGGATTTCCCGAAACGCTCCAGCACCTGCTTTGCCAGACAACCACCCGGCAGTGGGGAACAGACTGGCCCTTGCCCAGCACCAGGAGCTCACCTGACCACCACCTGTGAGGCACCAGCCCAGCTGGAGCAATCCCACTGGGATGGGATGCACCAAGTGGCACCAACCTCGGGGAGCTTTGCAGGCCAGTGAATAATTGGATTGAGGATTCGCATAGAATCTCTGCGCACACACTCACAGCCTGTGAAACCCCCAGGCACCAAACCTCCCTCCACCAGGAGCAGCACAGGGCCCCAGGTGCTCAGGCTCTCAGCCCACCCACACCAGAGCCACCCGGTGCCACTGGGACATCCCAACGCAGCATCCACATCCCATCGCATCGGCGCATCACCGATTCCACGCTGCGGACAGCATCGCTCCAGCCACCACCTGCCAATCCATTCCAGCCCATCACTCGGGTCACCCTCGCTGGGGCTGAAGCCCAGGGGACACGACAGCCCCAAGTCAGCTGCGGCGCAGGGCCCGCGCTGCCGGTGGGTGGTGGAGCAAGCCAGGCGCCATGTTGCGGCGGCGAGAGCGCACGGAGGACAGCGAGGGGAGGGGACTGAGCACCTCCCCAGTCCTGAGGGCCAGGCGCCGAGGACTGCAGCAAAACGTTTCCAAGGCCAGGCATTTTCCAGAGCCCTCTCCAAGATGGAGGGCAGTAACCCGCTATGGCAATACCTGCTCCAGGGGTGACATCAGCCAATGGCTCCAACAGCCAAAGCGCAAACATGGAGGGCTGCAAGCTCTGGCATGTGGCTATAGACAACTGACCCTTACTAGCCTTCCCAGCCCTGAATCCAGCAGCATCCAGGCTCTGGCTTGCAGTGGCATCTGGGGGAAGGGGCTGCCAGCAGGTCAGCTCAGTCCTCCATCCACAGCCAGGCTGCCAGCACACAGGGAGCAGGACAAGGGCTCCTCCACTATTGTCCAAGTGTTTCCCCTGCAGCCCACACGGCTGGGGAATCCAGGAGCCCTCCAGCTACAGGGACGTGACAAGAGGACACCATGCTCACGGGCACCGGCTGTGCTGGATGGAGCAGGGACCTGCCAGCCCTGTGCCCCGCAGGGCTACAGGGACTGAGCAGAAGACTCGCCCTGCCCGGTCCCAGCCCCTCCTCGGGGCGGCCCGGGGACTCCACCACCATCACCTCCGTACTCTGCCTCCCAGAGCCTGGCCCCAGCCCGCAGCAGCCCCGGCCTCGGGGCTCCGCTTCCCCGACGAGCCGGGGGTCCTGCCCTGACACCGGGTCCTCTATTCCCCAGAAAAGGCGCCGCGCTCCTTCCCGGCTTCCCCGACGCCCCAGTGCCGCCTCCGCGGTCCCGGTCCCGCTCTGCTCCATCCCCAACGCCCCAGCCCCGGTTCCCCGACGACGCTGCGCTGCCCCCGCCGTCCCCCGGCACCCTGGCGTTCCATGCCCGCCGCCCCGTCCCTGGTCCCGACGCCGCTCCCGGTTCTCTGCCGCCGTCGCGACGCAGCCCCAGCCCCGGTCCCGGCCCCTCCGCTGTCCCGGTGCCGCTCGCAGCTCCGTGCCCAGCCCGGCGCCCACCTCCTCCTCGACGGTGCCGCCGCCGTTGGTGTGCTCGGTGTCCTTGTTGAGGTTGCTCATGGTGGGGTGCCGGGGCGGGGGTGGTGCCGGCTGCTCCGGAGCTCCGCGGGGCCGAGCCGGGGTGCCGGTGCGGTGCCGGTGCGGTGCCGGTGCGGTGCGGGTGCGCGGGGGCGGTGCCCGCCTGCCCCGCCCGGGGCCGCCCCCGGCCGCCGCCGCCGCCAATCCCGGCCCGGCCCGGCCCCCCGGGACCGCGGGGAGGTTTTTTTTTGTTGTTGGGCTCGAGTTATTTTAATTATTTTTTTCCCCTCCTTTCCACGAAAAACTTTGTCAACTTTGATGAACTTTCGGGTTTCGACTTTCTTAAAGGGCCCGCCGGGCTCTGGTCTCGCGGCGGGGCCATGCCGTTCCCTCCGCGCATCCCCGGGACGGGGAGACGTGGCTCAGCCCCGCGGGGGTCCGAGAGCCCCGGGACGGCACCTTTGTGACCCCCGGTGAGAGCCCCGAGCCCCAGGAACAGCAGCCGTGGGAGCTCAGCACGGGGATCCTCTAACTCCGGGGCAGCTGCCCTGAGCCTCAGGAGAGCAGCCCCAAATCTGCCCCGACAGCATTCCCGGTCCCTGGGGACAGCAGCCCGGTTCCTCCTGCCAGGGCAGCCCCACAGCCATCCTCAGGGACATCGATGTGTGTCCCGTGCAAAGCCACGTTCTTGGGCCTGGGAGGAGGAGCAGGGTTGAGGCATAGAATCAAGAAATCCATGTGTGGTGTTGGTAGGTAGGGACCTTAAATTTCATCTCATTCAACCCTCCTGCCATGGGCAGGGACACCTTCCCCTATCCCAGCCTGCTCCAAGCCCCTCCTGGGGCTGGACCTGGCATCCATCCTGGCCTTGGACATTTCCAGGGATGGAGCAGCCACGGCTTTTCTGGGCAACCTGACCCAGGGCTTCACCATCCTCATTATCCATCTTCTTTCCTTTCTCCCTGCCCACATGGGTGCCCAGTTGGCCACATCCTAAAGCACAGCCAGCAGATGGATAACATGAGCAGAAAATGGAATACATAAACATTCGTCCATACTGCAGCCTCCTCTGTGAGGCAGAAGTGTAAAACCCCAAGAGCTTGGGTCAACCTGCCAAGTGAGAGATGTCAGGGATCTGAGCCCTGTTAACTTAACCAGCATTCCTTGTGCCCAGCCCATGCTGCTTCCCCAGCACCGAGGGCAGGTGAAAGAGGGGAAACATCAGCCCTACCCTGCCTGGGGGTCCCACAGCCCCCCTGCACTGCAAAAGCCAAGTGTGTTCCCTGTCCCCCACTGGCCTGGCTGGAGACACCCGTGCTGCCCCCACGACACTGAATGTCACTTCAAAGTCAAACTGAGTCCACACCTGGCTCTAGTGACAGTTTCATTCCAGCAGCAGCTCAGGGATATATAGTTTTGCTCATGTGAATGTTGTGGAGGGGTGTGAGCCTAGCTGGGGGTAACCACAGCTGAGTTCCCACCACACTGGGTCCACTGCCCTGTTCAAGCCCCAGCCCCTGACTCCATTTGCCACCTGGCTACAGAGAGGCCCCCTGTGAAAATGTAACCCCAAACTCAGCCGTGCCCGTGCACAATCACTGCCCAGCACAGCCCAGGGCACTCTGAGCCTGGCACCAGAAAGGCAGCACAGGAAACACCATCGCCGAGATGTGCCCACAGCCGAGTGCATGTGGGGCTAGGGAATTCCATCACAGGAACTAGGAGGTGTATTGGAGGGATGAAACATCCTCCTGGAGCATCAGCTTTATGTTCCCCTGCTTTCTAGGTTATGTCTTTTAGCAGCAGCAGCTGTTTGCATGCAGCACAGAGGGTTTGTGTGTGGAGCCCTCGCACAGCAGCAAAGTGACCACTTCTTTTTTTAAGGCTTTGTAATGAGCTGCTAAGCCAGAGAGCCTGATCCCTGCCAGGTTCTGCATGAGGGGAGAAAACTCCCACTTTTTGACTAAAAAATCCCAATTTATGTATTTAAAATGCTGTCCTGCAGAAGGGTTTTGGAGAGACTTCACATACCAGCTCTGAGCACCACAGCGAGAGCTCCCCCAAGCCACCCCTGGAGTTCAGCACAGACAGATGCAGATCAGAGCAAGGACTTTCTCCACTCTTCAGGGATACTGCTCTTCACCATAACTTTGTCCCCAGGACGAGGGGACAGTCCCATAAGGCTGTGCAGGAATAACTCCCAGGAAGAGTGTTGCCTACCATTCCTCAAAGACTCTGAGAGAGCCCGCCCTGACAAAGACCAGGAATATTTGCTTCCTGTGGTAATTGAGCAAAAACCAGTGTAACCTCCCAGCGCTTTCTCTGTGTTTAGGTTTGGTGTTTCACTTTCTACAGACTTTGAGTACAGAGCCTGAGGCAAGTGGAGGAAGGCACAAAAGGGTAGAAGTCAGGAGCAGCAGCAGGTTTTCATCAGACCCCAAGGACCCCAATGCTGCACACACATGCAGAGGAGACATTCTTCCTCTTCCAGAGCAGGAAAACCCTGGCCACAAGCAGAAGAGTTTATGTGTCCATCATGCTGGGGCAATAACAGTGGGTCCAGCACGTCACTATCACACTGATGGCCACAACCTCTGGTTCATTTTGTAGGCTAATCCATGGCATGGGGCTGGAGATAAGTATCCTCTTTGCACACCCACCCCTCAGAGCTGTATGTGGTGGCAGCACCCCCACATCCCAGTATCTTGTGGCTCAAAATCCCTTTGATATCTTCACAAACATCACACCCAGGCAGCCTCTCCCCTCCCAAAGCACTGCAGCATGTGCTTCAACACATGCAGCCCTTGATGGTCCAACCAGCTGCACACACAGGGGATGTTTTCTCCCCCCAGGAACTTAAAGGGATGGACAGAAGTTGGGACAAATGAAGCTGTCACTGCTACCAGCTTGTGCAGGTGAGCCAGTCCACCAGAAAATGGTGATGTCTCTGCAGAGGCTTTGGCTGAGGATTCCACTTCCACCTGGAGGTGCTCAGCTTTAAGTATGTGATCCAAGGTCACACCAGCTGAACCAGTGCAGGAGCAGGAGACACCTGGGTTTGGACTTTGCTTATCCATGCCTTACAGCCATGTATTTTTACACCAACACTTTTCCTCCTAAAGTATCACTCAACAGCATCTGGCTCTGCAGCGTGGCCAAGGGCTGCACCAGAGCCTTGTCCTCGTGACACCATCTCCACTCAGATGGGAATCTGTGACCCATCCAGCATCCACTTACCTCTCCCACATCAATTCCTCACCAGGGTGGACACGTGGACAGTGAAGCCTGTGCTAATGTCCCACACGAGCAGCTCCAACTGTGCTGTCCTGCCTGCAAACAATGAGAAAGGCAGAGCCTCACCAGGGAGAAGGAGTGAAAGCTGTGAGGTGCACAATGCCAACAAGGCTGGTCTAGCAGGTCCTAGAAAGGGGGTTAACAAAGTACTTGAGACAGAAATAGGTGGAAATCAGCTGAGAAATCAAGGTGAGACTTGAAATGCAGCCAGTTGTGGACAATCTTGTGCTTTCACACAGTTTCTCAGCTTTGCATTGTCCAAGGGCTCTCTCTCATTCTTAAACAAGCAGGTGACCAGCTCAGGTGATAAAGAGAGATGTCTCTCTCCAGCTGGGCTCCTGCATCCTGCCCACTCATTCTGTGATCCCAGACCTCTTTCACCCACCTGTAGAAAGGCAATGGATTTTATTTTGGGCATCATGGTGTCATAGGGGTTGTCATAGGGGGCACTTTAGGCCCCTGTTCCTGCTAAGACAATCACAGGCAGTGCCACACTTTGGCTGAGCTGCTGGATTGTTTTTGCTGTTCCTCACTGCTTATCTGGGACAACAACTGAGCCTTGGCTCTTGTCCCAGGGCAGAGAGGATGCTCCCATGCCACTTCCAGCATTTCTGAGGTACGGAGAAGGGAGGATTTCCTCTGCTTGCCACTGGCACCAATTTCTCCTCCTCCTGTCCTTGTCCAGGAGATCTCACATCTCCCCAGACTGCTCTGCTGCTTTCTTCCATCCTCTGCCCATTCCAGCTGCTCTTAGTCTTTCTGGCTAATTATTCCAGACTGGGATTTGCTATGCTGGCTGGAGAGAGGCCACCAGCCATGGGACATGGAGGAACACTGATTTCCAAGCAAGCAGTGAGACCAGACAACACCCTGTCTCTGCTCAGACCAGTGACAGGCACATGCAGGCTGAGTGCTGGTGTCCCCAAAGACTCTTTACAGGGCCTAGATGAGTTCTCAGAGAACTTTCTGGCCACAGGCAGGCAAAGGCCTTGGGGCTGCTTTATGGATCAGCATCCAAACATCTGGAGACTTGTTATAGCAAAGGTGGGAAGGGACCTCGGAACTCACCCATCCCACATCCTGCAGGACTGTCACCAGCACTGCGTCCTGCCTTGAAAACCCCTAAGCAGGGACCAGCCCCACCTCTCCAGGTGTCCATCCCAAAGCTGCACCATCCAGCAGGGAAAAAGTCTTTCCTGACACCTACCCTGTCTCTCTCAAGCCACCATGTGTGGCTGCTGCCCCGTGTTACATCATCTGCTGCTGCTACCAAGGAAAGTGTCACCCCACCATCTTTGTAACTTCCCCTCTAGGGAGGTGTAAGCTCCAAACAGACCCTGTTCAACCTCTTTTGGTCAGACTAACCCAGCCCAGTTCCCTGCTGACCCCTCACCAGCACCTTCTGTGCTTCCCCCCCTCCCAGTCTGCATCTCTGCCTGACACAGAGCCTACCCAGCCATTCCTCCCTCCCTGCAGCCTCTTTTGGTCTGTCTCCAAACAGCAGGGATGGCACTTGGTCAAGGCCGAGCTGAAGAGGAGCTCCCAATCCCTTCCATGGATTTGTTCCTTCCATTGGACCAAACGCCATGTGGCTACAACAGCCCTAAGCACCACAAAGGGAAGAGGATAAAAGGTGTGGCAGAAAAATTAGTACCAGAGACCACTGATATTTGGATACCAAGTCACAGGCTGCAGTGAGCTCTGTTGGGGAGCTGTGCAGGACTTTGGGTGGCCCAGTGGGTGCAGGGCAGAGACGAGCAGGGGTGGAATTGCAGAATTCACCCAGCATCACATGCCTGGAGTAGCTGCTTTGAGCACGGCACTGAGTGCTTTCAAACTTTAATTCCTTTCCGTACATC